AAGTCAAACATAAATGAAACCTGCTACCAACCGCTGATTGTCATGTGGTGAATACCATCTTCGGTCGACCCGCCGGTTCCGTACTACCACTTGCCATGCATGCAGTAAGGATAGCCATAGCCGCAAGGTGTGCGATTGCCCAAGTGCAACCTCGTTGATTCCGATATCCCAAGGGCAGCTGGGAATTCAAGCCCAATTAACACGCTGCAAACCACTGAACCCAACGGCCAGTTCGTGATCAATCCTCATCGATTCATCAGGGAAACCGAAGCAGCGAATCTATCTAACCGAATTTAGAGCTCACTGCTATTTGTCCCAATACTATCCATGAGGTTGCTGGTCATCAATTGCAATTACTTGGTGAAACGGAGTTGTGCTTTCAATCTGAGTCCGGTGTGTCAAAGCTGATCCAATTCCCGGTGTCAGCCGACAGTCCGTCCATTCTGGGTGTGCAAGAGATGCGGCTATTACAATCACACTGCATACAAACAATGGTGATTGCAAAGGTTTTTTTTCGAATTGCGATTTACCATCGTCACTGATCATCAAGCGCTACAGCTCTAGTTCAACCCCAACTAACCTATTGCAACGTCCATTATTGTTATGCTACAGAGGTGGAGCGTCTCCTTAGCCGGGTACAACTACGACATCCAAAATCGTCCAAGAAATACAATCCCGCAGGCTGATTTCCTCTGTCACTACTCACGAATTTGTGAGACCGATCAGTGTCATTTCATCAATCCAGCATCATCAGTGTGTCTGAAATCTTTGCGCAAATCTACCAAGCAGCACTAATCGGCCATTATCTCAGCGATCAAGAAAGAGTGGTCACCGGAAGTGAAGAGAAAGTATCCATAGTTCTCTTCTCACCCGGAGAAGTGAATTTAAACATTCCTCTATCCACCCTTTATTCATTTTAAACCTCAGTGAGCCGATTATTGAACCAAATAGAGGGACTTCTTGTGGTGATGAAGTCATACGTTACCGCATTCCAAGTACTATCCGTGTTAGGAGAAGCCTAACCTTCTACTGAGAATTCTCGCGGTATGAATCAGCACTGGATTGGAATCAGTCGCCACAATGTGAACGTGCCGACATTTTCTCAATGGTACTGGATACATGGGTGTCAGAGTAAAAGTACAGAGCACGGTGGCCTGATTTCTAGCAAGTCCGCCGTCGCCGCCCACGTAACCTCCATTCCGGAAAAGTGTCTAGGGACAGTGAGTAACATCAGAAATACTACATGTTAAGTGATTGGACGATGATCTTCCAACCTACGATATGGCCTATTACTTTCTATGTAGATGCTCTATTTCTATGAATAATCATTGTCACTTGCTGCTTCCAATCGTTCGTGTATTTCATTGGTGTCCGTATTCCGGATTGAGGCCAATACGGTTATGCGTATTACAGTACGGATTCTCGTATTCCTTCCTATATTCAATACAATTCCGAATAATTCTCCTCTCATCTAGATCACAGAATCGCGAATCACACTGACATGTTCTAACAAACATTTCACCCACTTAGGTACCAGTGATCACAACATGATCCTAGTCACACCTACGATTTACTCACACACGGGACATTTTTCTTTGATTCGAATCAAACACACCATGTTCCGTCAGTAAGATTATTTTCAGATACTATCGCCTTGCTCAAAGAGTCTGTTGAAGTAGTTACTGATTATTTTTTGATTAAACACAACTCGGTCGTCCAATATGACTGTAAGAAGCTTTATTGTATGATTAAAATTACGTACCCCGGACCTAGCGGTACTCTGTTAAAAACCCAACAATTCATGTGCGGTCCTAACCAACTCCCAGTTTGATTACCTTTCCCACCGGATCGGAACTTGCTACACCCCCCCCCTTCATGCCATTCAGTTGCACTTTTACTTATTTCCTCTATGATTACCTAATCGCCCCACATAGCAACTTTCGTGTTAGTTATCGTGACCCGTTCTTCGTTCAACCTGTTATCGCAATCTATTATCTGCAATCCACATGGCCACTGTTTGGTATTGATCGTCGTGACCCCTTCTTCGTCCAACTCTTATTGTAATCTTTCAACTCCACTCCACGTGGAAACTGTTTCATGATAATTGTCGTAATTGTTGTCCTATTATCATGATCCATTATCGCTATCAATTATCTCGACCCGACATAGAAATTGCCTCGTGTTATTGTGGCCACCTGTTCATCATCCACCCAATAGGATTACCCTACCATCTTCAATGTTGTCACTGTTCTTCTTTTTCGTACATGCTACCACCCGCCTTGTGTGTTTAACCTTCCCAGACACCCTCCTCGTGTTCATTGTGTATTCCCTCAATTACACCGTGATTACGGCTGCCGTCTGTCACCCCCCCCCCCCCGACTTTGGTGTCAGTTTGCTTTCCCATTCCTGTGACTGGTCCTCACACCGCTTTAAATAGCACTGTCTCATCGACATCGCATTCCTCCTCTGATTTCCAAGACAAGGTTTCCTGGCACGTTTACTCTTGTCGTATTGAACCGATTGTTTTGTCCAACCGGGTTGCCCCTAATTTGAAGTATGCCATTGTATTTCCACTGATTCATGACTGATTATGCCACAGTACACGTAGATTTCCCAGCCTTGTGTTCTAGCTGGAATTCGGGGGTTCGGTATCTGCGAGTTACTCTATCATCGGACGTCAATTCAGTACGTCATTTCTAACAGAAATGTTAAACCCTGTTTTTCACACATGCTCTCGAGTGATAGCTTTGTTCCTTCAACAAAGCAGAATATCAAAAGCTTGTCTTAAAAGTCTTTGTCGTGCAAAAGAATGTGCATTTCAATGTAACAGGAGGGCCGAAATGCAACGACTATCTATTCTGATCAAGAATGAAATAAGACGGTTGGACGCCCTTTAACCAGTCAGTGCTTTTGGGCGAGACGTTGTAAATCCTTATGGCTCAGAATCAATCTCCTCTGCAGACAGAAGTGAATGATTTCCAGTTCCTCTATTGATATTGACCAACGGTATGCTGCATTCATTCATTCTCCGCCCGGCATGCCCCAATTATATTCACTCCAGTTCCGCGAACACCTCATCTTTTGATCCCATTGCCTCCATTTCAATGTATAAACCCATGTGTTCTCTCTAAATTTTGACCGCACCTGGTCCAGACAACTTAGGTTCTACTCTTGCTAAACGCGATGCCGCACCACTGTCTCAAAGTTTTGCACAAATAGCTAAACTTTCACCTGAACTCCGAACTATCCCGGATTCCTGGCCCCAGGTGAAAAATTACTGCAATTCCCTAACGTCAACACCTCAATAGAGAAGCGTTTCAGGCCAATTGTCCTTCACTCTACTGGTTTGAAATTGTTGGAGCGATTAGCTTTGCATCGCCTTCAGTTATCTCTCACCACTCCCGAATAGATTTATCTATTTGCATATAAACATAAATGCTTCACAATCAATGACGTTTCGTCTCTAGTTCAATTCATCAGTAATTCCGTTAACGAGAAAGCCAAATATGAGCACTATGCATTTCTTGGCCACTGTTCCAATTTTGACTTGCTGCCGTGTTCTCGTTTACCTAACAAGTTCCAATCTTTTGGATATCCTGCTTCTCTTCTTGAGTGGCTTGCTGATTACTTTTCGCAAAGATATCTGTATGTTAAATTCAGAAGAAGGCACTACTCCGGGTGTAATTCAAGGTGCAGTCCTATCACCCTATACCACTTCTGTTCTGATTTTTTGGTAATAGAAGCCTATTTTCAAAAATGCGTTCATTTATCCTTTTACTGCTTTCTTATTGGGTTCCTTGTTGTGGTGAAGGCCCCTTTCAAGTTGCTGAGGCGTGAACTCACAATGACCCATGTCACCTCCGCTGTTTGGTTGATTGAGCTTTCCCATTGATCGATATATGACACTTTCTTTCTCGTCCATTGTATCCCGACGCGAACACTTGACCACCTGCATGTACTTTCGTAATTCACACACCAACGTGACCGTTAGGTCACACGCATGACTGAATGGATGTACACACACTACACCAGAACCCACTCGTTGTCACCAGTCTCACTGGTCGTCTCTCCCTATTCATTCTGACCGTTGATCTTGATCGGTATGCACGTGAAGGCTCCTTTTGACACAGCAAAATGCTGTCTTTCTCTTTGTATGTTGTAATTGATTCTCCAATTTTGTATTTTAGACGCACTATCTTTCGATTGTGCCTTGATAGTGCAAGCTCGCACTCACCGAGTCGCCTCATGATTCAAGGTTTGTAATCTTTATTCGTAATCATGTTTGTCATAATAGTACCGCATTTCAAGACAATCTCATCTTCTGGTGACTTCGGGATTTGCACATCACTCGTTCATCTGGTCCGATTATCTTAGTTGATCTACAATAACAGAATCTGTCGCACATATTCTACACTAGTCCCTTCTCGCATATGTACATAAATAAATTCTTTGGTACCTTATCTTGCCTAGATACAAAACCCATAAGGAAAGTTTTCGTACCCAACTTTCTAATGTACGTTGTGATTAACTCAAATTTTTGCACGTTTGACGACACACTGTTTTCTCCTGTTTTACCATTATTTTAACAACGTTCTAGCTCAGTACATTGAAACCCAATAAAATACAACTTCAATACAACACCTCCCACCAGGTCAGAACTCACAAAAAGTTCACACAAACCAGGAACACTTGATAACACAGAGCTCTATTCTGCTCGGATGATACTACAAGAAGCCTAGGATTAACAGTTCAAAAGCGGAAGCGAATTGCAAATGAAGCTCAACACGTCAAATTACGATCCACAAACAGTATCATAAAAAGAGGCGACTCAGGCTCAAAAATAATTTTATTCCAAAAAAGGTCAAAGAAAATACATACAATTCCTTCACAAAATAATGAAATATCATCACCAGTTAACTGAAAGAAAAAATACACTGATTTCGATAACACGAAGCTGCATTGGAAACATAAAGTCCAAACAAATGCACTGATTCAATACTTTAAAAGCATCGACATCGCATGAAACATGGGCCACCCTGGCACACACGCACACAAACACGACCACGAGCCGGACGGAGCACCGACACCTCTTCTCCGCTCTCAGTCACACGACCGGCAGACGTGATCGCCTCATGTTCGTTCGAATCCACCAAGTCCAACTCAGCCCGTCCATCACTGTCTGTGTCAGCCAATGTCGACGTGGACAATCCGTCCAATTCACCTCGACCATTCACAATATCCGTCAATGCAGCATTCGTCTCCTCTCGCAATCGCTCAACCGGATCGGACAGATTGGTGATGATCGGTTCCGCGTTCGTTTGATGTGCATCTCCGAGAATGTGTGTGATTAGGAGGAAGTATAGGGTGACAGTTGTGGGGAGCATTTTGGTTTTCGTTTTGTGCAGTCACAGTTCGCGTTCCTAGCGTGCAATTTCCTCTTCGGCTGCTCGCTCGCTCCCTAGCTGGAGTTGTCTGATTGCTCGTCCGATCAGGTTAGTCCATTTATATCGTTGACTGAATTGCAACTGGATCCATGACCTTTGGTGAGGTTTCACGTGTTTGTGTGTAGTGCACATTGCATTCCGTGATCCGTGACCGTTGTGTGTGATTTGATTTGCCACGTGTTTCACAGCCTTTTGATTCCGTGGAGTTTGTTCATGCTGCCTCCTACCTCCGTTTCGCGGAGCAAATTAATTGGTCCTTTTCGTTTGTTGCCAACACGTTCCGATTTGGTTGCGTGTGAATTAATGCATTCTGCGAAACGTCACGTTACCTTTTTCTATCTGTTCTGATGAACCGACAAATCCACCGTCCCGCGGAAAATCTCACTGGTTTTGCGTTCCACGCGGGCGGTCAGCTTTGTTTCCTAGTTCCGTTTCATTGGTTGCTCTTCTCCTACTTGATCTGTTCGTTGCTTGAACACAAAATCTCCACAACCGGCTAATGTTCCTCTTGCTTTCATTCATAATACTGTAATATATCGCGTGTATTTTCAACATCACTGCACTTATCTCCTAACGTGTAATGCTAAACACGTGAGCGTCATCCTTCTCTCCTATATCGATTTCTCTCTGTCTCTTTCTATCCTTCAATTCAAACAGTGCACAATTTACCCTATCGATCCTAATACACACATTCTCAGCTCTCTGTACATTTTCCATGCTACTTCCGTACCGAGGAGAAAATGAATCAATCCTGTTCATTTTTCCCAACACGTGGCGAATTTGTTTCGTTTGATTAACTTAGTTGGGTGGAACAGCATAATGGAAATGCTACCATATACTTCATCGAATGACATATTCAATGTGTCACTGACAATCTCACGTCGTTGTGTTTGCAATCCGCCGTTAGTCTTTCTTACATTCGATCCCGTGGTTTGTCGGACAAAATGTCTCTGGAATCTAGTTCTTATTCTTTTGCGGTGTCATGGTTGAAACTTTAAAATAGCGCCATCCTTCTTCTCAGCTCTCAAATTGTAATGTCAAGTCAAGCACGGCGAACAACTGACATCTACATTTGTTGAGAGATAGATGCAAACTTAATTGGTCATCACCTTTGAAATTATCGCTTTGAAATTCATCATTATGCATTATCCACAAATGGTTTGATCTGCATCTAAACAGTTCACGGAAACACCGTTTTGTGCTAACGAACACTGACTTTGGGACAACAAACCCACATTGACAAGTAGTATTAGTGTGGATAAATGTCACCACTAGAAGACTGAGAAACGCCGTTGTTTCCCAAAGTTTACGCTTTCGTTGGCATGTGAACTATACGACAGGACGTTGTGAATTGCACTGATTCGGTGCTCGCCACCATAGTGATTAATTTCATCAGACTGAATCACTCACACAAAGTTGAATCCCTTTTTACTTTGCTTGAAATGTCTGAACTTTCAAAACCAATACGCATCAATTCACAAAGTCCCGTTGGATGAATTTCCAGTGTCAATAATCTGATGCCGTAGGGTGAAATTGGTAGTCTTCTACACAAATAAAACCAGCAGAATACAAATTAGTGTTTGCAATACATTGTTTATCTGGATTTTATGTAGACTCAATGGTGATATTTGTCATCTTTTTCCTCCTTCAGTTTGGATGCAGTTTTTGTCGAATTACCTTACATTTACAATTATCGCACTTTAGTCCATCATTATGCATCATTCGTATATTGATTCGATCTGCATAAAATAGTTCCGGGAAATGATCGTTGGTTCACAACAAATAGCTACTATTTTCTAGGTCAGACCCAAGTTGACCAGTGATACCATAGTACATAAATGTCACCAGAAGACTGCTATGTAACGACTCTGTTTCCCAACTTTGCTTGCGTTGGTTTGCATCACGTTTGCTCTGCGCTCTGCAGTGCATAGACGAATTCCATCAGACTGATCCATCCACATCAGCTGAATTATTCTAAGCTTAGGACTAGAGAGTTTACAATTTGTAGATACCCAATAATCATGCGACTTATGCTATTAATTCTTGTTTTATTGTTGTACTTCCATTCTCTATGTATCTTCACAACGGTTACGTACGTCTGAAGCAATTACGTCGTTCACTACTGAAAAGTTTGACGACTCACGAAGTCCAACACACTCAGTGTATTAATAATAATCAATACCTCGGCTTTTTTGTTGTATTTTTGTATCCGATTAAATGCAAACAGATGCACACTGCATTCGTGGAGTTGAGAGTCATTCACCGAATCCGTTGCTTTGAGGCAGATCATACCAGTAAGACAATTTTCAACCGTCAATATATGGCACTGCTCAATTCTCTGTAACGTGAGTTCAACAGATGATTGATTGACGTTACGCATTACGCTGAACAGACAACACAACTGTGAATGCTACGCTTTGTGAGTAAGAGTCAATGTTTATCAAAGCATCTGAAACGAAGCACAAAAGTTGGATGGATATCGCGCTCAAATTGAGAATGAATAAATTGTTATGTTGCTCTTCACTGAACGTTCTTCACAATACATTTTCGGACATTGCTTTCATTTCACACACTCAGTCATTCAATCCGGGAATCATTAAACTCAATTAAGGTTCATCTGTTTTAACACAGGTGTCGGTATAGCGAACATACTGAACGCGCTTTATTTGCTCTATACACGACGAATTCTTCCCTCTTTAGAGTTCAATATGATCCTCCATTACTCTTATATGACAATATCATTGTCTTAAAATACGTTCAAAACTTAATAAGCTCGTCTTAAATTATGTATAAAAGTAACCAACTGGTAGGAGGAATCTTACCACGATGAATAGTAGCCGTGTTTTGTCCGTACATGGATTAGTAGTAAACGACTTAAAAGATCGACAAAACATAGTCCTAAAAGAGTTTAATTCGGTGAGAGTAGGATATAGATAACAACAAGGGAAGACAAGAAACGTCAATGGACTGAAAACTTCAGCAAAATCCCGGGCAAAATGCATCTACTAATGAATCAGTCAACCAATACGTCTATCTGTCTATGTTTCTGTCAATCTCTCAATCAATCTAACTATCTTTCTAAACATCTTTCTTTCTAGATAGATAGATAGATGGACGGAACTGATAGACAATGATCATAGGTGAGGTTCACACGTAGATAATGGGAAACACAAATTCATATGCGAAACCTGTTCGGTACACTCGCGGCCATTCCAGGAGCTAACAGGAAATTCAAAGACTCCGAATCATTGAGACGTCTCTCTATTCAGTTTTGTATTTACTGAGATAATGGGATGGAATACTTCAGTTGTGTGAATGAATTCAAGAAGAACATACGACTGATTATAAAGACAGTCTGTTCCGAAGACCGTCCAGTCAGATCTGAGAAGTGCAACCAATCAAACAGTACCAAAAAAAGCAGCTCACCTCGTGCACAGAGGGCATAAGACGTGAGATGTTAAGCTAGACAATGCGTTTAACAGTTCATCAGAAATAAATTCAAATGCCTAAGTGACGAAAACCCGGCGACACTTCTATTACGGTTTTTCACCCAAAGATACAAGTCAAACGACACCAATTCGCAACATGTTGCCAACGAATGAACAAGGTCGATTCATCTTCTCAACTACACGGAAGTAGGAGCCATCATGTGCACATTGCATGGAAGTGGACGGGTGTGAAACACGTGACAACTCTACGAAAAAAACATACACATACACCAATCACGGAATGCCATTCGTGCGACATTGACGGACACGTGAAACCTCTCCTCACCATTGGTCTATTTGCAATTCAGTCGACCTTATAAATGCACAAACCTAATCGGACGAGCAATCAGATACCTCGAGTGAGCGAGGAGCCGAAGAGGAAAGTACACGATTCGAACGCGAAGTGTGACTGCCAAAAGCGAAAACCGAAGTGCTCCACACAACTGTCACCCTATGCTTCCTCCTGATCACACACATTCTCGGAGATGCACATCAAGCGAACGCGG